GGGCTCCTTCAATGAGCCGATAGTGAGCCCACCTAGCTCATGGCAGCCAGGCTGGGACACCTGGCACACAGATGCCTGGCAGGTCCCAGAGGTCCAGCGCAGATTCTCCCCCTGATTTTTACTCTTGGATCTCTTTCTCCTCTCACAATTTTCATATTCATCTTCCATGACTTTAGGTTCCGTATTGATGGTCTAATCCCATCCTTTACCTGCACATTTCCTTGAGCTCACCTCTTCATTCAAACTGCTGCCCTGATTCAATGCTTGCACTCATCAAAATGAAATTTCACTGGACTTTGTCTTCAACAAGGAAGGCTATTATCGGTTATCAAATTACCCCCTACAATCCAACAACACCCTACCCTTTTTCAGCACTGTCAGACTCTCTCAACCTGTCACTGCCAATGACTTTCATTCCATCAGTGTTGTGACTTCATCTGCTCTCAGCCTCCCTCTTCCCTTTTTTCCATTGATATGGTTTATTCTCTCCATGCTGCCACCCATAACTTTGTCCCCTTCTCATTCCTAATATTTGCTTCCTTCTCTTGTTAGAGAGCATCTCTGAAGAAAGTCCTGTGATCGGCTGACTTTCTCCACTATGAATTTCTTCTCCTTCCTGCTAGGGATGTAAAAGGTTAAGCTGTTACCAGTAAGCATTAGGCTCACGAGAAGGCTTATAAGGTAACCGGCTGAACAGCTGTGCCAGAGCAGCCCTGTGCTGGCCCACTGATGGTTAAATTGTATATTTCCAATTGTTTAACTGGTTAATTATTTTAATGGATATTTACTTCCCGACTTTATGTTTCTAGCAGAAGCAGCTCCACTTCACTTTAACTTAATTGAATCCCACATCCACCTGCCTTTCTGCCACCTTTGACATGTTCCTCATCTTGTCTCCAGTTCTCTCACCACACAAATTTCTTTCAAGTTAACAAAATGTGATCTTCCCCTCCTACAATGCTGCTCTCCACCAGAGTTGCAGCAGTTTGTCTGCTCTCCTCTAAACCATTCACTTCCCCCAAGGACCCCATCCCAGCTTCTCACAACAAATCACATCCTCTCCTTAATCTCTTGCTCTCCTCTGGTTCTTTCCCCTCACAATACAAGCATCTATTAGTTTCTCCTATCTCAGAAAAGCCACCATTGACCCCATTTGTGTTTCCAATTACTGCTCCATCTTCTTTTCGCCTCTAAATTAATTGAATACACTATCTACAATTGTTATCCGGAGTTCCTCTCCTCCAATTCCATACCAGATCCACTCTAATCCTACCGCCTCTTCTTGCATTGAAACATTCCCTCTCACCAAAGCTCAGAACCAGGACTCCATCCTTATTCTCCTTGACTGCTAATCCACCTTTGACACTACCAACAATGCCGTTTCTTGAAATCCTGTCTGTTTTCCATGACTGTCCTCTACAGTTCTCTTCCCCACCACTCTAATGTGTCCTTTGGAAGACCCTCCTCAACCCTCCTTCAAATTTTTAGGGAGATTCCAAAAGGCTCTGTCCTTGATCCCCATCTCTTCTTCCTCTACCCAGTGGTCACCAACTAGCTGATTACAATCAACTGGTCAATCCTAGGGAGTCTCCCATTTGATCACAATCGGCAAGCCCCCTACTTGCCCTGACAGCACGACACTGGCCATTCCCATGAGTGGCCAGCCAAGTCCCAGGTGTATGGAGAAGACAGGGGAGACAAGTGTGCTGCCCCCTCAGCTTCTATTAGCCAAGAATGGGAAACTGTGGCCATTGGGAGCTGAAAGGCTGGTGCTCGCTGAGAGAGTGGCAGAATGCAGAGCCACATGTCTCCTTCCCCCATCCTTGGGATTACAGGGGCACATGGGCCCCTCCCAGTCATGGCCACTACATTATGGAAGGCAGGGAACCTTCCATAGCCTCACTACGCTGCCTGTGCTAAGTACCACACAGTGGGCATAAGTATGGAGGGTGCTGCAGCACCCCCAGATTTTGGCTCCAACTCTAAGGAGCATTGAGAGGCACAGACTGGGTTGGGGGTGCAGCTCAGCATCTCCACCTCAAGATCTGTTCCAGTGCAACTGTCAGGAAGAAGACAGCACACCAGCCCTTTCCCAGAGACACTCCTGCACTCTAAGCCCTAGCCCTAAGCTACCTGCTAGAGGCAGCACACCACTCCCCCTCCTGCAGCCCTTTACCTCATACCTCCTTCTGCACCCCGAATTTCTTCCTGTGTCCTGAGCACCTGCCTCAGACCTGTCCTCCCTCTGAGCCAGGACACATACCCCCTCCTACACTCCAATCTCCAGCCCTGAACCCCTTTCCAGAGCAAGCACTGTATCCCCTCCCAAATTCTAATCTCCTGCCCTAGCCCAGGAAAAATAAGTAATGGTGGGGTAGAACAAGTGATGGTGTGTATGGACTGAGTGGGGCAGAGCAGATCTTGGGTTGCCCTTAAATTCAGAAAGTGACCTTGGGTATAAAAAAAATCAGGGACCAAAATCTCATTCACAAACAAGTATAACTACCATCTCTGAGCTATGACTCCTAAATCTAGCTCTACTCCAGACCGGTCTCCTTTTGTCCAACTAAAATCTCAGCCTTACAGCTTCTCAGGGATATCTAGCTATGAGCTTAAATGCTACATGACTAAAACAGATTACAGAAAAACCTGTGTTATCCAGCCCGCTCGGGGATTAGGGCGTTCCAGTTATCTAAAAATTATGGTCATCTGAGGGTCCCATCAATCTAGGAAAAACCAATGGACATTGATAGTAAAACTCATGATTTTAATATTGGTAGTTTTGTAGTGTAAGGCAGTTGGTCTCACATTTCTATTTTGAGTTAAAGACAGTACTTCTTAAATAAAAAATTGTTAAACCAATCATGGTAAACCAAGACAATGCACCTGAAGATGTGACAGTATTGTGGTTGGGTGCAATGCCGGTTAGCAAAGTTTTCTGGTTAGAGTGCTGGATAACAAAGGTTTCACTGTATTAATCTCCCCATATATCAGTTTTCTAAATTGCTGTAGATACTGACAGATAGGATAGCGGTACTCAGGACTGTAACCTGGGAGTAATCTTTGACTTGGCTCTCACTCTCATTTTCAGGCTATCCCTAAATTTTGCAATTTATTTCTGCATAACATCTGGAAGATATGGCCTTTTTATCCCTTCACAACTAAATTTCTCAACCAGGCTTTCATCTCATGCTTCAATTATGGCAACATCCTTCTCTCTGAAATTGAAAAATGCAATCTCTCTCACTCATCCATGCAGAATGCAGCTGCTAAAATAGTTTTCCCTAGCACATCATTTTGACCACATCACTGCTTTCAATCTCCCTACTGGCTCCCCTACTAATGCATTAAACATAAGCTACTTGTGTTCACTTTCTTGGCTCTTCACAGCTTCTCCCCACACTACCTCTCATCTCTCACTCGCTACTGAAATGTGAATTCCTGCCTCCCACCAATCTACGATGGCAGCCACTTGTTTGAAAAATCCAAAGAAGTACATTCCTTTTTTGTCCCAGGCTGCCCACATGCTTGGAATATGCTCCCCCTAAAACATCCACAACCATGCTGACCAATACTATTGAGTTGTTTCCTTATACTTTTCTGTCGAGTCACTGTTATATCTTTTATATTGTAAGTTCTTTGGGGCAAAAACCATCTTTTTGTTCACTCTTTGTATAGTGCCAAGTTTAAAAGGCCAGGACCCCTAAGGACCATAGTAATGCAAATATATATTCTAAAGGCAACACCATTCTATCCTCCACAGTCTAAATAGAGGGTATTTATCATGATGGTTTCTATAATTCAGATACCTGTTTATTGGAAACTTGACACACATTTCATATGAAATTGCTATTTGAAGTAAGTGTTACCAATGGCCTGGGCTAAATGTGAGCAAATGACCTGGAAAATGAAAAACTCCATATTCAACTAATAGCCTGTAATCCATCCAGTTTAGAATTAAAATCTTCTGACTGCTGAGGATACACAATTGATACTTACCATCTCTATCTTCATCATGCACATTTAAGTACAAGTACTCCATTCCTCTTCCTTTCTTGTACTCCTCTATTCCTTGAAGTTTGCCTATTAAACTGGTTTTACCTGCACCATCTTCCCCTAGAAAAAGACAGAAGTTAATATAGATCAAATCTTTAAGTAAATAGTATTATTTACTAGAGTTTCTTTTTGGGCACAGTGAAATACCATGTTAACAATGGGAGTCACTCAGCTGGAAGCTCCTGCAAATCTGAAGACATAGGTGTTTGCTTTACTCCAAACACATACATACCAATCTCAAAATAACAGACATAATTAGTATTTGTTAATATATACAACTGTAGTTTTTCCCACTATGGTACTTAACTGTTCTCATTTCCTAGTAGGGATGTAAAATCCCATTTATTTGGTTAACCAATTAAACAATGTTTAACCAGCTTACTCATTGGGGGGAGGGGGGACAAGCAAAGGGGCACTCCAGCCTAGAGGGACTGGAGCTCCCTCCCACATCTGCCGTGCCTAGGCTGAAGCAGCCCCTGGCCACGGTGGCCCCCACTGAGCTGGAGCAGCCCCCTGCCTGTGGTAGGCAGGGAGCTAACCCAGCCCTCATTAGTTAACTGGAACCGGTAAGCTTCACCCTTTATGAGTGATGCTTATCGGTAACTTTCACATCACTGTTTCCTAGCTCAATTAACATTTTCAGAATATGGAACAATCATTAACTAGTTTTAAAGTTAAATTTGACATTCAGTGTAGTTTAAGTCCATAAAAGCCTATATTTCAATTTATTTCATGAAAATGCACATGGATTTTCATCCATGAAAAACAAATACAATGGTCAGTCTGTATAACTATTTAAATCTTACAAATACTATTAAGTCAACTAGAAAATGCAACAGTCTAAATATTAACATTAGGCATTTAACTGTTTTTATAAAGATTGCACAGATGAGGACTGGGAAAGGAACAATGTTTCTAGCCCTTATGATGGCAAATATCATATCAAAATCATTAGATAGGCATTGCTTAGTTCAATACACATGCAGTCTGAAAGAGCTTTAAATAAGTCCTTACTATCCCATCCATTTCACTACAATTCTGTAGCCAGAGACTATGCTCTCCCCTCCCCATATGACAGAATTTGGCATTTTTGCCACAGAAGTCACCATTTTGCTGCAGCAAAGGCACATTTTTCCCCTCTTTGCCCTACTGGAATCTGGCACTTGTTCAATCTTCCCACAAAAGAAGATTAATTGGAATGAGTTCTCCATCTCATAACTGCAACCAACCTACACTTCCCATACTGGACAATGGACAGTGGCTGTAGCGTGGACGATGAAAAAAAAGTTCATCTGTGGTAACAGCTGAGAGCCGAACTAATTACTAGATTGGTATGTTGAGCATAGCAAAACGATAGGGTTCAGTTGGGACTTGCTAAAACTACAGGTTGGACCTGACTTGTTCTGAACAAGAGGATTTACTGGATATGGGAAGGTTCCTCCCCTCAAGGCCTATGCTGCCACCGGGCTCGGGCTCCAGCCTGCCCCTACTGCTATGCCAGCCCCCAAGAGCTCTCTAGATCCATGGTCACCAACAGGTCAACCGCGAGGCATCCTGACCACCTCACCCCATTTCCCTCCCCCCCGAGAAGCCCCACTACTTACCTCAAGTGGAAATGGAGGTAGTGTAGGCTTCCCGGGGATGGACAGAAGTCCCGCAGCTTAGCGCCACTTCCGGCGATTCGGAAGTGCGCTACCTGCTCTGCCGGGTGTACTGCAGGAGGGAGCATCGGCTCCCTGCACCGCACAGGAGGGGCGAGTCAGCCCCGTAGGAGGCGCGCATGCGGGGTTTCCCGGTGCGTGCGGGGGGTAACTGGTACCCCCTATGGTCCTCCTGCCAGACCTCCCTATTCCTGGGTGCCAGACCACGGAGTCCTGGTTAATGGAGGTACAACCTATACTTAATAATCATTGTAGGAGAAACTTCCTCATGTCTGTCCTGGTGGCAAAAATCAAATTCTGTAATGCATGCCTGATGCAATACTAGCAAATAATGGAGATAATTAATATGCTGACTCACTCATTGAACACTATCTTGCTTATTGACTGAATCAGAGGTCCCAGAAAACAGTAATGATCATCTAACTAAATTGGTGCATAATGGTTATGATTTTCTGGATTCCAACCCAGAGTATCCTCTCCTGCAGACTAAAGGATACTTTGTGGGAAAGAGCAAGCCAGCAGTCTGGCAGCTCACAAGGCCTGGGAGCATACACACAGTGCAATTGAAATGGCCTGAAAATAAAGAAAGAGTAAAAAAATAAACATTGCATATGCACAAAAAGAATAGGAAAGAATATAAATTCTGGTATATCCAAGTATATTTTTCATAGAGAACACAAAAGATCTCTGACCCCAGCACTGTTCTCATGCCAAATTTCAAGTCATGCACCAAACCAGAGGTGCAAGAGCTGTTAAACAAAAACATTCAAATCACTACCTATCTATGCCTCATTCTCAGAGTGACTACATCATTTCTGCTCAATTTTTATTCCCAGAAAGATCTGATATGGAAAAATTTATCCAGAGTGGTTAAATTTTGGCAAAATGATATGCAAATGAGAAGAGAGGATTATAATGGAAAGTGTTAGGAAATACTAGCTATAGGCATTGTTTCATAGATAGTAAGAGAAACTTATTCTCACCCTTAATCCTGAAGTGCAACTGTCTGTGTTTCCATCAAAATGAAGCAAACAGCAGTGCCAGGAGGAGATGGCAGCTCCCCAAGAGCCAGTGCACCCAGGGAGTCAGCTTTTAAACCAGCTCCCCGTGCATACAGGGAGCCTGCATGTAACCTAGACTCATCCAAAACTTCACAGTTATACTTTCACATCCTTAACTGTTATAGGAATCAGTATTATGGAAATGCCATTGACTATTGAAGAGAATGTATAAGGACTAACTTTTGAGTACAAAATGAATTCTGAGAATTTACAAATAAATGTTAATTGGTTTATAAGTTAAAATTTAAAAAATAATTTAAAAATTATAGCAACCTGGACCAGATATTTTTGACCCAGATTAACTTAATGTAATAAGTTTCCCACAGAGTAAACACTCACAAACTCTTGAGTATCGAAATTTTTTTTTGCCATTATCTTTCATAATAAGTTCTGATTCAGGAGAGTTAACATTTTTACACAGTATTTCATGGCTACATTTATAACATTGTCTACATTAGGAAAAGTCATAAGCAATTTTCTTCTCTATAGCAGCTCAAATGTCTTAGCAACAGAAAAGCCTATAGGTCAGACAAACAACAAGCAGTCCTGTAGTACTGCAGAGACTAACAAAAATGTATATGTAGTATGAGCTATCGTGGGCAAAACCCACTTTCCACAGATGAGAGTGGAGAAAATAAAAAAGGTAGTTCAGACAGTTTGCAGACATTTATTATGTCACAAAAACATTCTCTGAACCTCTTGAGCAATCTAGACTAGTAGCACTTATAAAGTAAAACGTTGCTTTTAGAAAGCACAAAAGTATCACTTGACTGGTGGTAGAGATGTATATTATAAAGGACTAGGGGGCTGCATCCCCTGCTTGCTACACTCGCCAACCCCCTCTCTCTGAGGATAGATGTCTGGCCAGGGGAGAGGGGGCAGGAGCAGGCTGGGGGTGCAGGGTCTCAGATGAGGGTGTGTGTAAAGGGGGGATTGGGAACACAGGGAAGCTGCGTGGTTCCCTCCTCCCCCGAGCACCAGGGAGCAGGGCACTGAAGGGCTGGGGAGGGAGGAGGGGTGCTGGCCTAGCCGCAGCCCAGTTACTCATACCCACCCCCGGGTGCACATGTCTGGCCAGGGCAGAGGGCAGGCCAGGGCCTCAGGGCCAATCTGCGAAGAGATGGCCATCAACATGTGCCCCAGCCCCATCTGCCAGATCTCTAACTACTTCCCCTGCCCGCAGCTCCAGGGGTGACCCCTGCCGCCTCTCTGCAGACCCAGCCCAGGCAGGGCCCCATCAAAGAGGTCCATGACACCAACAGCTGTGACTGACACCAGTAAGTGGCTGGAAAGAAGAGGGGACCCAGGCATCATGGATGGCTTCTATAGGTAGCCCAGCAGCACCCAGAGGCCGAGCTGGCAATGGAACCCAGGCGTCCAGGATAGCTGGTACCAGCAAGTCTGTCCCCACATCATAGCCCAGATGTTCATTAGCTGCCAAGATCTGTCCCCTGGAGCACCAGAAAAGGAGGGAGGGAGAGGCTGCGCACAGTTGAGAGCGGAGACGGGTGGTGGGACGCAGAGTAACGTGATGCCATCGCTCTGTTATCCCACAGGGACTTTTTAAAAAAAATAGAGAGAGAGAGAGAGATAAGTAAGCACTATACAAAAACTACATCTTATGCTTGAAATCCTAAGGGCACTGTCACAGGTTAAGCTTCAGCTGAACTCAAGGCATAGCACGAGTTTGTTTTATTTTTACTCTTAGCCCCAACCCTAATACTCCAATCATTATGTCTTTAGAGTAGGCATGAGTCAGTGGCACAACACAAGCCAACTTTGGGTGGGGAGACAATTTTCGTCATGAAAGATTTATAGAAACAAATAAAAATAGTCAATAATGGTCTACCATCAGAATTTTAAATTATTTTTCATTTTCCTCTTGTAAATACTTCCACTTTATAGAGACTTTTAGTAAACATCCACCTATTTTTCAAATAGCATTATTTGGAGGGTGAATCATTAGCAAGAAATAACTTGTGTAACAATTATATTTGCTACAGGCCCTTGTATGAAGTCAACTCCTAGTTAACTCATCTTGTTTTATTATGTCTTCTTAAAGAAAAGAGAGCCCTCAAACTAAACAAAAAATGCACATTTACACCATATTCCTTAAATGTGTGTCTACTTAAATTTGAGGACTTGTATCCGTTCATACTTCGGTGGAGATTGAGTGGCAAATATAATAGCATGGAAAGTCAAATGAACATCATTAAGGTAACTTGTATTAGTAAGTGACCAGAATACTGACAGTACATTCAACAACAAACATTTGGAACAACCAATTCCTACTGTGAACAGATAGCTATAGCTGCCTTTTGAAGACATCATTTGTCAC